TTACGTGGGAGGCTGAAGTGGGAGGATTGCTTGAGGCCAGGAGTTCGAAACCAGCCTGGGCAACATAGCAAGGCATCGTCTCTACAAAAAATAAAAAAATTAGCTGAATGTGGTGGCATCCCTGTAGCCTTGGCTACTTGGGAGGCTGAGGCGGGAGGATGGCCTGAACCCAGGAGAACCAGGCTGTGGTGAGGGGTGATCATGCCACTGCACTCCAGCCTAAGTGACAGAGCAGGATTCTGACTCAAAAACAAAATGATAATAATTAATAATAATAATACATTTCAATTATGTGAAGTCATTGAGATCTGTGGGCTTATCTATCATTACTTTGTATGTAGAACAGTTGTTAAAAATAAGGAGGTAAATCTATATCTAAATAGTGACCCGTTGCACATTGATATGGGAAACTCTTCAGGATAAATAAAGTGGGGAGGGAAAAAAAGCAAATTTCAGAACAGTTTTTTATGATTCCCATCTGTGAAAAAATATGCATATATCCTTGTGTGTGTATAAACAGTATCTTAAGGGGTAACAATGCTCATCTCTGAGGAAAGTGCCTGAAGGTTGGGGTGCGATAGGGATGCTGACTTTTCCATTCATATCCTTTTGTACTGTTTGATTTAAACAAATAAACAAACAAACTAGAGTCATACATTACTTTAAATAAAAAAACTCTAGTCCCAAAGCAACTGACCCCTCAGCCTGCCGGCTCTCTGAGTAGAGTGTCTGGGTGTGCACAGAGCCAGGCTTGGCACACCCTGGCTCCTCCTTTGATGCCATTGCTGCTGAATTGCTTATAACAGCCCCGACTGCTGAGTTTTCCACGTGAACTGCAATTCTCCTGAGCTATTGGGGGATGTGGCATCACTACCCACTTTCTACTCACAAGGTCACGACTGAAGCCACTGTTCTTCCTGGACTTTCCACACATCGAATGTCAGGGGCTATCTCGAGCCCTCTCCTGGCTTTGCATCTTTGTATTTTTAATATCTGGCCTCTCCACCATGCTTTGCCTCTATATTTAGTGTGATCAGTGATAACCACAAATGGTTATGAAGCAGCTGCCCTGATGTGGTCTCTAGAAATGGTAATGATAATAGTGTTGCTGCCAGTTATTGTTAGAGGGTGTCTGCGAAATACAAAGCACTGTGCCAGGTGCTTTCTGTACATTATCTATTCTTACAACACCTGCCAGATAAATATGCTTTGCCCTACTCTTCAGATGAGAAAACTGTGGCTCAGGTTTGATAATAGCATCCAATCCTTATGGAATACCTACTATGTTCTAGATGCAGGAAATCCAATAACTAAAGAAATAGATAAAACCCTGATCTCACAAGTGTACAATTCTGTCAGGGTATGTGTGGGGGCGGGGGCGGGTTCCTGAGAGGCCACATTAGGTGACAAATTTTGCTGCCACACACAGAGCTTCCATGTGTCACATTAATGCCTGCCCCTACATATAAACAGATAGCCAAGGATAAGCAAACATTTGAGGAAGGCCTCTTGCATGAACACAGAGATCAAAATAAGCAGAGTAAAAGATATTCAGAAACAAAAACAATGAAGAGAGCAGAAAAAAAATCACAATCATAATTTAATATATTTTTTTTTTTTTTTTTTTT